GATGATGATGATGATGATGATGATGATGATGATGATGATGATGATGATGATGAGGGTATTAAAGGGATAAGGAGAACACGATGATTATGAAGTAAAGCAAATTGATAAAAAATATTTGCGCATGGCATTCAGTAAAAATATACGATTATCTTCTGTAGACATACCTTGACACGTGTCGTGTGCTGTGAACGTAAATCCTGTGTGACAGAGACATGTGTAATTTCCTAGAGTGTTGTTACACTCGCTGTGTGGGGGACAATGGTGGAGGTTCTCACTACACTCGTCTATGTCTGGAAAAGTGGGTTTGGTGGGAGGGGTGAGGGGTGGGGAAGGGAGGAAAAGGTAAGGAGAGGGGGGAATAGGAAAAAAAGAGGGGTGTATGGGGGTGATGATAGGAGAGTAATAATTTGAAGTATCTTTGACGTTGATGTTCAACATTTTAAAAAGGAGTGAAATAATAACAATAATAATAATACAATTTCCGAGGACACAACGTTGGACCTAGCTGACGGCAATCTCACGATAGCGAGTCCCGTAGCCCAACCACTTGACTACCGACGCCACGCTGCATTTTGCAGATGATATCATCATCATCATCATTATGGTAGACAAAGCAGAGTAGGCAGGGAGAGTTTAAGGACATTTTTCGTCAAACGAAAGGAACGAAGAGTTTTTACTAAAGGATACAATCGAAAACACGACCTACCTTGACACGTGTCGTGTGCTGTGAGTGTAAATCCTGTATGACAGAGACATGTATAGTTTCCTAGTGTGTTGTTACACTCGCTGTGTGGGGGACAATGGTGGAGGTTTTCACTACACTCGTCTATGTCTGGAAAAGTTGGTTTGGTGGGAGAGGGGAGGGGTGGGGAAGGGGGGAGAAGGTAAGGAGAGGAGGGAGTAGGGAAAAAGAGGGTGAGAAACAGAGTGAGACTGACTGACTGACGGACATGCAAACAGACAGATAGAGAACTAAACTAAAAGCAACATGTAAGCTTTTTAGTTGCAGGAGGGGGCAGATGAAGATGAGGAAGAAAGGAGGGAGAAGAGAGGGAAGGGAGGGAAGGGAGAGGGAAGGGAGGGACGGTAGAGGGAAGGGAGAGGGAAGGGAGGGACGGTAGAGGGAAGGGAGAGGTTAGGGAGGGAAGGGAGAGGGAAGGAGAGGGAAGGGAGAGGGGGAAGGGAAGGGAAGGGAGAGGGGAAGGGAGAAGGAAGGGAGAGGGGAAGGGGGAAGGGAGAAAGGAGAGGGGGAAGGGAAGGGAGAGGGA